TATCCTGGGCTCATTGTCCCTTGGGGCATCCTCTGCTGCCTCACCCAGTGGACATTTTAAGACCATAACCCTCCCTGATTCTAGGGGCCCTCTTAAAAGAGACAGACTGAGAGAGACAGCACAGGTAGGCATGTCTCACGCTGAGCCTCCCTTTCTTCCCGGCTTTTTGGTTGTACTGTGAGTTATTTAGCCAACAATAGATATTTATGTATACTTTTTTAGAGCTTGTATTTATTAACAGCCTGCAAAGAGGGGAGACGGGGAGATTTACACTGAAAGCACAGTGAGTTAAAAGGGACAATTAGAGGAGCAGAAAGAGATATCAAGTAGAGAGCTGAAAAGGATATTTTAATGCACAAAGGTTCTTGAGATATTTCCCAAGTAGACAGAAGGTAAAAGAAAATTGGCCCATTACAAGCTGATGGTGGGGAATTGGTAACATGGGATGGGAGTAATAGCTGATGGGCTAAACTCCTACTTAGACCAGAGAGCCAGGCTGGGAGGAGGTGAGCTGTAATGTGACCACAGTTGCGTCAAGAGGCTGAACATTAGATATTGAGAGGAACCCCATCAAAAGGTACACTCGCTGCTGATCCAGCAAAGAAGATACACAAAGCAAGGCTGACTTCTTCCAGGTCAGGGTGGAAAAGGCCCCTGAGGAGCTGGGTCCCAGAGTTGGGTCCACCCAGGGGCTGGTGGGGACAGTCTGAGTGGTGGATACTTAAGGGCAGATTTGCTGGGAGCCACCAAATCCCTGAGGCTCCCAGCTGACTCCAGGGAGCCCCAGTCCCAGAGCAAACCTGTTCTCTCTGACCCCGGACGCTGCAGCTTATCCTCCAAGAAGCCTTCCTGGTTCCTCCCAGCCCCCTCAAACCTGTCAACAGGCCTTCTGGAACCCCCCATTTGCCATAGTGGCAGAGTGCTGAGTGATTAGTTAGGTGACAAGTAAACATTTGCTAAATGGGATTCTTGGCTTCCTGGTAATGAACAGCCCCAGCAGGAGAGGAAAAAAGGGAGGTGTAGTCTGGGGAGAGTTCTGGGGATCACTGATGGTCTGCTGGAGCCAGTACATGCGGGGGTGTCTGGGTTGCCCTGTGGAAGTGAGGAGAGAGGCTGAGGGCTGAGCCCTTCGTGGATGGGGAAGGAGGGAGTCTGGGAGATAAAGCAGCTCTGGGGTATTTCCGAGCTTGGAAGCAGCAGGTGTCTGGGAATGGGACTCTGGCCCAGGCACACTTCCAGGGAGCGCTCTAGCCTGCTGGCACGAGGGGAGAATCTGGCTGAGCAGAAGAGGCAAGGTTTCGATGATGAAATCCACTGTTGAGGAACATTGGCAAGCGTGCCACGGGTGCAGGCCACGTGCTTGCAGAGACACTGAGGGTCTGGAGCAGGGACGAGGACCCCCAAGGTGGGGGCTCACACCTCCACTTTTGGAGTAGAATCCAAGTTCCCCAAGTAGGATCCCTGGGCCTTTCCCTCCCCAGGTTCACCTCCCGCACCTCCCCAAACAGCATTCCCAGCCTTCAACTCACAGTTGGTGGCAGATATCCCAAACATGGTGCTATTGCATGCCTCAAGCCCTCTGCCTGGAATATTCCCCGCACTCTTCTCTGGCTGCCTCCTCATCCTCTGAGACCCATCCGAGTGTCACCTCCTCCCGGAAGCCCTCCATGACAGCCCCCACCCAGCCTGAGTTTCTCATGGTGGTAATGGGGTGTACTTACAGAGACACCAACCCAACTCTGGTTTCACCCATCCCATACTTGTTTCCACATCTAGGCTCCTTTTGGCAGAGCCACGTCTTCACACTTTTATGTCCCCAGAGCCTGGGCCAATAGTTGGCATGAGTAGATCCTTGTTTAAAGCTTGTTGAATGAAGGGTAGGGAGCTGGCCAAGCTCTGGGGTCTGGGGAGGAACTTGTGGAGAGAAATGCTGAGACCACTGGTGGCAGATGAGCAGATGAGTCCCTCCTGGGGCCTGGGGACAGCAATGAGCTAAGATGGCAGAGGGGCTGGCTCCACCATGAACAAAGGGGTGGGGGATGGCCCTAGCCTCTGGGAGGAGGATGGAGCTTTCCAGGCAGGAACCCAGCCCTCCCTTCCCTGAACCACCCAGAAGAGATGCCGGGTCTGGTAAATTCAGGGGCCTTGGCTTAGCTCCCAACGTGTCAGCTTGCTCCGATGCTCTGCACAACAGTGTCATTGTGCCTGCGTAGTGTATGGGCCTGTATGACAAGTGATGTCATCCACCATACAGCTGCTTTTATTCCCTCTACTCTTAGAGGAGCAAGCTGCTGAAACTCACCTGGCATCCTGGGCCTCTCTGCCTTGGTTCTAATAACAGTCAGCAACCAGAGACTGCGCCGTGCTCGACAGAAGCAGATCATTTATAAAACATTAGCATTTCTTGTCCTGACATTTCACTCCCATATTACAGGACTTACGAAGTCTTTAAAAAAAAAAATTTAATAAAGTGCTTAGACCCTTGATTTTCCCGCCGAGGGCTGTGCCGTCTAAAGTTGGAAATGAAATCAACAACATAACAGCATACTCAGGTTCTAAAGGGGACAGCTAGGCCCTGGCACCGGCCTGGGTAAAAGCAGGCAGACCACTGGGAGCAAACGCAGATAATTTGTTCTGCCGCCACCAGACTCCCTTTAGGGCACATTTCCAGACCTGTAATTAGGAGGATTTGTCCAGGCCTGGAAACACAGCCTCTTTCCTCTATTTGGGGGAACTCGCTCCTTTGTTCAAAGCCAGGGAGGTGGGTGCAACCTCCAGACCCCACACACATCCACTACTCCATGGGTCAGTCCCTGGCTCCCTGGAAAACCCTCTGGGTCCTGGGAACTGGCAGTTCCCTTCCAACCACCCCCAGAACCCACTTAAGAATCAACAGCCCAGCTGCTGCGGGTGAAGCTCTTAGGAACAGGCCAGGAGTGATCCAGGGCCAGCCTGCTCCGGGGACAGGCACAGAAATGGTGCTGACCCAGTGCAGCCAGAGCATAGCAAGTGAATCACATCCTGTGTCTGTGAGTGAAGAACCGAGAACGTGTGCATGCGTGTGTGTGTGTGTGCAGGCACACATGTCCCAGTGAGTCAGTGTGCCCCTGCTCCAAACAGGTCCTCCCACCAACAAACGTGCTTGTGTTTTCAGAGCTGAGCCTAGCCAGGCTTGCCCACTCCCACGAAAGCCTGGGATCTGCCACTCCTTTAGGAATGCGGGGTTAGGAATTGAGAAACAGGGTTCTTTCCAAGAGAATTTTTTATTATTATTATTTTTCTCTCTTAATTGGATTCAATGTTTCTTGCACCTGACACACAGCCTCTCTGGTGGGGAATTCGGGTTTGTGCAAAGCCAAAAACAATTGTGCCCGATCGGACCCCAGCCAGCAGCATGGCTGACCTTGACTTGAGCCCCTCTCCGCTGTCTCTGGGCTTTCTTGCTCCCTTCCCCACTCCTGACCCGAGTCTGGCCACTTTCCTGACCTCTCCCTGTCCCAGGGGCATCTTCAAAGGGTCCAGGAGGGATGGGGCTCCATAATGCAAAAGTGCCTGAGATGGTTCTTGAAATGCCCTCTTTGTTCCCCTTTTGCTAAGGTCGCCCGATGCCACCCTCCTGCCACCCTACCCAGGACCCTTGCTGGAATGCCCACTAAAGAGCCTCAAGGAAAAATTCAGCAGCTGAGCCACACTGGAGGCCTGGGCTCATGCCCAGAGTCTCCCTGGCCCGTCCAGACTGTTGCTGGCAAAGCCCTAGGCTGACAACACTGCCCAGCCTGTTGGACTAACACTGTGGATGCTGCCTCGCCCGCCAGCCTAAGAAACCCAAATCGCCTTCCTGCCCCTTCTCCTTCCAGCCCCTTCCCAGGGCCTGGCTCCCTGATGTCCAACAAGCTGCTTCTAGCTTCTCACCCTGATGCCGACAGCTGCTGTACTGGGAGTGATCGGGTGCTCTGGGGTGGCAGATGGTCTTGTGTTGCATATAAAAACATAGGTGATGTTCTAAATATCTAAGAATATTGGTCCCCTGAAGTGATTCTTGCGGCTTCCCCTTCTCCCTGACCATCCCCACTGTCTCTTGGCCCAGGCCCAGGAAAGCCCAGGTTACATGGGGACTACTGTTGCCAGGTTGGGATTCTAGACAAAAATCCTAGAACTCCTTTCTTGCTAGAAATCACCAATACAACCCTTAGTTCCGCAGATATAGTTTTGCGTATAGTTTATAAACATGATAAGACATACAGTTAGGTAAGGGAGTAGGGAAGGACCTGTGCATTTGTGTATATATATGTAGAGTGTATATATATAAGTGAACATAGTTATAAAACTGCACCTCCTGTGAGAACCCCATTGCACACAATGAAGTTTTAAATTTCAGCCTCTGATGATCTTGCCTTTGGTAATTGGTTCTTGGAGCCCAGCAGCTGGGCCTGGTCTGCCAGGGTTGCCTGAGACATCAGGAATGAGAGGCGTTACCCCCAAAGGAAGGACTGAAGGTGGCACATGGTTGGATTCAGGGCAGGGTGACTAAGTGGCCTCAGGCAAGAGCCAAAGCGCCACCTGCTCACATGCCCCCACATAGCTGGCAGACCCAGCCTCTCGTCTGTTTGCTGAGTCAGCTTCCTCCAGGGGTGGCAGGGCCCCTTCCGACATCTCCAAATGACCAGGATTCCGCAGAGCTCAGCTCCCTTGGGGCACTGTCCCGTTGTTACTAATGAAGGATTCACCTTGCGGCTTTAACTGCCTTGCTGGGTGGATGCTGTCCGTGGGTGCTCGGCGAGGGGGCTGGCTGGAAACAGCTGGGTGGGATGCACTAAACCCGCCTCTGCTTGGGGCTGTACACTTTGGGTTTATAATCCACCGGCCAGGGCCCAGACAGCAGCCGAAGCCTCTACCGGCCTTTGCCTGAAACCCAGCAGATCCTCCACGTGTAAAAACAGAAAAGAAATCCTGTTCCTTGGTGGGCATGTGGCAGTGCCGGGTGCTGGCACTCCATGTCCTCAGCGGAGAGTGACCACCAGCCCCAGTATCCAGGCCAGGAGTGAGGCCCTCAGGGAGCTGCCCGAGGAGGCCTGCTGCACCCCGCTGGGGGCACGGATGGGGGTCCTGCGGGCACACTTGCCCTTCCTCTTGGGCCGCGCCGTGGGCATGAAGTCAAAGCTGAACTTGTGCTGGTAGTCAGGGGCGTAGTCCTGCAGCTCTGGGGCCTGCTTCCCGGAGCCTGCCTTCGAGACCTGGTTGCGATTCCTATGGCTGGTGCAGTTCTTGCCCGGCTTCTTGGAGCCCGACCGAGAGCCGGGCGGATGGCCGTGCGGGTGGCCCTTGTCCCTGGCGGGGCCGTGGGGGGACGGGTGGTGCTCCTTGCGGGCGGCCCTGTCGGTGGTGGTGAGCGTGTGCGACTTGATCTGGTGCGGGGACGCCGGCCCCGTGCAGTTCCGGAAGTCCTCGGCCCTCAGCAGCTTCAGGTCCCGGCCGTGCAGACGCTCGGGGGACACGCAGGGGACAGCCGAGCAGGAGCCCCGGAACCTCTGCAGCCATTCCCACAGGGAGCGCCCCCGGCAGCCACAGTCCCAGGCGTTCCCGTTGAGGCGGAGGAACTCCAGGGCCCCCAGGGGTGCCAGGCAGTCACCTGGCAGCTCAGAGAGACTGTTGTTGAAGAGGAAGAGGGTGGTCAGCCTGCGGAGGTCGTGGAAAGCCTTGTGATGGACCCACTGCAGCTGGTTCTCATGCAGCAGCAGCCGATCCAGATTCACCAGGCCCCGGAAGGTGTCCTGGCCCAGGCTCCACAGCTTGTTGCCGTGGAGAAACAGGTGGCTGAGGTTGACCAGGTCCACAAAGATGTCGTCCTGGAGGTACTCGATGTGGTTGTCCTGCAGGTAGAGGTACTGCAGATTGTGCAGGCCGCCAAAGATGCCGGCCGGCAGGGCGCTGAGCCCACACTTATAGAGGTAGAGGGCGTGGAGCTTCACCAGGCCCTGGAAGGTCTCAGGGGCCAGCGTCCGCAGCTGCCGGTTGTCGCCGAGGTCTAGCTCCTCCAGGTGCACGAAGCCCTGGAAGGTGTTGGGGTCGATGAAGGTGATGTTGTTGGAGTAGATCCACAGGGTGACCATGGCGGGGCTGAAGTGGCCCTGCCGGAGGAGGGTGATGTGGTTGTTCTGCAGGAAGATGCGCTCGCTGTCCTCCGGGATGCCCTCGGGGATGGCAGCGAAGTTGTGCGCCTGGCAGCTGACCGTCATGGGCGCGGGGTAGCACACGCAGTCCCGCGGGCAGCCGCCGCCCAGGGGCAGCTCCCCGGCCAGCAGCAGCAGCAGCAGTTCCACACAGCACCCTGGAGGGGAGAGAGAGAGAGCACAGCCAGGTCATGGGGGGCTGCCCAGGAGGTGGGAGACACTCGGAGAAACCGGACTCCACGGATATGTGAGCCTCCTTGGTCGCCGGGGCTCTGTCCTCGTCTTAGCCGCACTCAGCGATCTGGGGTCTGGGGTCATAGACCCCTGACTCCTGATGGCTTCCCACGCCCTGGCGCCCCACCTCTTCTGGGGGTTTCTATTCCAGCCTGGGTTGTGAGGTGGGTTGGTGTGGAGGCTGCGGTCCCCCTACACCGGGCGGACTTCTTTAGCCCCACCTCAAACCCCTAGCCCCGCCCCCAGCTTCTGAGCCCCGCCCCCAGCTTCTGAGCCCCGCCCCCTTAGGCTCTGTCATCCTGGCTAGGATTGGGGACACAGCCCATGGACCCAGCAGCCAGCCTCGGGGGTCCTGTTCCCCCCGGGGTCCCAGCTCTGTCACTAACTTGCCTTTATCTGCATGAGCAGATAGTGGGGCAGGCTCCTGTTCTAACAAAGTAAATATCTCATATGGGCTCCTGAAGAGTCTTTTTCTTTCAATTTTTCCTAATAACAAAGTGTGCAGGCATGTCACCAAAGTTTATCTTAAAAGATTTCTCATTTACAGTGCCTTCCACGTCCTCAAGCATGCATCATCCCCCATGACGTAAGTTTCCTCATTTCTAAGTAATAATAGTTGTTCCTTGCAAAGGACACATGTGTGTGTGTGTGTGTGTGTGTGTGTGTGTGTGTGTGTGTGTGTGTGTGTGAGAGAGAGAGAGAGAGAGAGGGACAGAGAGAGAGGACAACTGCAGGAGGCACCAGGACTGATGGTTCTGGGGTCCTAGGAGCAGCCAGAGAGACTGCCCCCCACTGCGTTCCACCGTCTGGTCCCTCCCTCCCCCTGCCTCTCTGGAGATCCCAGGCTACCATTGCAAATCAGGCCTTGCCTCTCGATTGTCCCGAGCATTTCCTCTGTAGCTTCTCTCTAATTGGGCATTAATTAGGCATTCGTTAATGGATCCTTAAAATAATTTATTTTCGGATGTGTCCAGCCTGTGGTCGGATAACAGCCACGCACTCATTATCGCAGCAGCCTCATTATGGATGATCGTCATTACCTGCCTTTTTCCAGGGTCGCAGCTGCCCCAGGCAGCCTGGCAGGCGCGCCAGTGTTGTGGGGACCGGCTCCAGGCCTGTAGACCCCTGCCCTACAGGGCCAGGCCGTCATCTCGTCCCTGCCGGGGTTGGCTTCCTGATCCTTCCCTTCCAGCTTGGCCGATCAGGCCTCTGGGGAGAGCTGGGTGCCTGGGGCAGCTCAGCTGATTCTTCCGGCTGCCAGCTGTGCCCAGAGCATATTGGATGAGAGAACCAGCCCTCCCGGCCACTCTTGGGCTGGCCCCTACTCCCAGCCTCGGGCCGGCTACTGCCCCAGAGCTGCCTGCCCGGGCTCCAGCGGACCTCACCACCCCTGACACCCTCTCTTTCCTCCTAGAAACGGCGTCATAAATAAGTGACAGCTCCCAGCTGTTGGGAGTTATGGGCTCCCAGAGAGTGGCAGCTGCTTCCTGTCCCCCTGTAATCACCCGGCTTCAACAACATTTCCAACACATAAAAATCATCGCACATAATTCTGTTTCTGCATAATTGTGTTGGGTTGCGATTTCAGAGCAATTATGACCTCGGCGGTTGTGGCAATGGTGGCAGAGCAGCTGTGAGTTCCCATTCTGGGCTGGGCCACGCTCTCTGCGGCTCCTGCCCTGCTTTAGTCATCGCCACCACTGAACAGTCTGCAGCCCCGGCCCCAGGCAGGGGGGCCTTTTCAGCCTCAGTTTCCCTGTGTGTAACAAGAGTAGGAGAGGATTTCTACACCAGCACTCCCCAAGTGGCGTCCAGTCCATTACTGCCCTCCTAGGTCTGGCCAGGGGGTCCCAGCCCTGCAGGAGACTCTGCAGTGGGAGGACCCCCTAGGAGCCTGGCCCCCAACCCCAGGCTGATAATCAGGGATCCTGCCCACTGCCTTGAGCCTCCAACACCGGGTCTGGGAGGAGGGCCCAGCACACACTGGTTGCACCTTCCACACAGCCCACCAACCCATCTCCCCTCGCTCAGCTCTGCTCCTCTGCCCCGCCCAGATGGCCCCAGGGAGGCGCCCCCACCCTACTACCCCGAGGGAGTCCAGGGTCCCCTTCCTAGCTCAGGGTGCTCATTGTGCTGAAGGGGACAGGGCCACAAAAGACCCCCACCCCTACCCCCTGGGGTCCTGCAAAGACAAGGCACTTCCTCCCTTTAAGTCAGGCAGGGAGTGCGGCCCGCAGTGGGAGCAGGCTGAACCCTGGCAGGCTCAGTGTTAATACCACCGACATTTGTGCAGCTTACAGAGTTTACAGAGGGCTCTGCTCACGCTCCTCAGAGCCTCAGAGCTACGCTGTGTGGTGGGCGGGTGGGGGGGAAGGTTTCCTGCCCCCTGACCTGGGGTGGGGTAGACAGCCCTTCTGCTGCCACTGTGGCTCTGTCTCTGAAAGGCCCTGGGTGGGGGTCTCTGAAGTCATCCTCAGAGAAGCTGGGGGTGCTCCATGAAAGCCACACCCTTCCTCAGGCAGGTGCCCCTGGGGGTGTTGGGGTACAGGGGAAGCCGGGCAAAGACCCTGGTTTGGGTAAAAGAGCCAAAAGTCCAAAAATCTAGGTGTGGCCTTAGCGGTTGGCACATATGCAGGTGGGGGGTCAGATATCGGGGGTGGGGGAAGGGGTATAAAGGCAGCACTGGGGGCAGGAGCCTGAGAGGAGCTGAGAGGGGCCCAGGAGGAGGCAGGGACCCCAGGCAATGTTTAGAGCTGCTCTCCATCCTCTGGTACCATCCAGATGCCAGTGACCCCTGCCCCATCCCACTGGGCACTGCAGTGGGTCTCAACTGAGTCTGCTTCTCCAACCTGGAAGCTGGTCCCATGTCCGAGGCCCTGGACCAGCTCTCCCAGCCTCCCCCACCTCCTCTGCCTGAGCCAGCATGTGCCCTGGTCATGGATCATCACCCTGCCTATTTCTTCCCAGGGAGGCTGGCACTGCTTCGCCAGAGCTCCTCCTGTGCCCCTGTGCCCGCTCTGTGTGGCCCATGGGAGCCCCGACCCACTGATTACTGATTAATGTACTAACAATGACACTGGTGCCTTTGCTGTGCGTTTTAAGATTGCAAATTAGCATGGATACAAGTCTCCACGGAGGAGCCTTATGCTTCCTCCCACCAGCTTCCTTGCCCCCTCCTGGGGAGCAAGGAGGTCACTCTACCTGAGGGGGCTGGAGAAAGTAAAGTGTGGACTCAAATTCTGGACTTCCTCTGGCTCTCGTCCTCCGCTGTCTCCTCCCCTGATCCCCTTTCCTCCCCCTGCTCCCCGCCTACTCCAGGGGCATCCACCTGACTGTCTACTCGGCTGCTCCCAGACCTCCTAGCCCCCCACATACAGATCTGCAGCCTCATTCATTCCTTCTTCCATTCAACACTTGCCACTAGAGTCCTGGCGTATGCAGAGTGCCAGGGTAGGGAGGGGCCTGGGAAGAACTTGGCAGGTGGGTTCAATTCCTGGGTTGGGAAGATGTCCCTGGAGAAGGAAATGGCAACCCACTCCAGTATTCTTGCCTGGAGAATCCCATGGACAGAGGAGCCTGGCGGGCTACAGTCCATGGGGTTACAAAGAGTCAGACATGAGTGAGTGACTGAGTACGCACACAGAAGCAGATGGGGGTCTCAATACCAGACTGTCCAGCAGGTGCCAGGCCCAGAGTAGGCGCCGTGGTGTGTGCACGGGGAAGGCACTGCTGCCTTGTGCCACTTCCTCCATGAAGTCTTCTTGCTCCTCTGCCTGCACAAAAGATGTGCAGAAAAGGAGAGCCATTACTGTCTTCATGTCCTGTGTGTGTGTGTGTGTCAGTGTGTGCTCAGTCGTGTCTGACTCTGTGCGGCCCTGTGGACTGTAGCCCACCAGGCTCCTTTGTCCATAGAGTTTTCCAGGCAAGAATATCGGAGCAGGTTGCCATTTCCTCCTCCAGGGGATCTTCCTGACCCAGGGATTGAATCCACATCTCTTGCATCTCCTGCACTGGCAGGTGGATTCTTTACCACTGTGCCACCTGGGAAGCCAGTCTTCATGTCCTCTTTCCCTCAAATCCCCAAATCCCTCACCTGCTAAGCAGGGACCTGTGAGGGCCTCGGTGAGTAGCCAGGGCTTGGGCAGGCCCCTCGCCCAGACTCAGCAGCCCATTCATAAGCTGTGCCTATGAAAGGTTCCATAGGGGCTGGACCTCGTGGGCTGGGCGGAAAGGGCATTCCAGGCAGAGGGCAGCATGTGCCAAGGTACTGAGGTGGGGAAGTAGGCAGCAGGCCCTGTTTTAGCCCTTCTCTTAGCCCTTCTCTTAGCCTCTAAGTAGCTTGAACTCCCTAAGAGGCTGTAACTACGGCTTAAGCCGAGTGAGGGCTACCCAGGGCTGGGGAGGCCAGAGAGCTCCCCACTGGGACCAGCACCACTGACAGGGCCCCTGCTCCTGTCTCAGGGGCCCTGCAGCTTCCCTGCCCCCAGAAACAGGAAGGGAGCTAACCAAACGGGACCCAACCCTGTACCAGAACTGAGTAGCAGGTTCCTTACGTGGTACCTTCCTGATACCCCACAGGTGGGAAGCACAGAGGGGAGGGGCCAGCCAGGGCCACACCGCGGGCCAGCAGGACAGTGGGGGCATCCTCGTCTGAGGGCTGGTCCGCCCTCCCCGGCCCCAAGGTCTCAGGCCTCGCTCTGGCCTGAGTCTGGCACCTGCCCCTCCCCACACCCGTGCAGGGCGCCAGCCCAGCGGGCTGATATCCCCAGGAGCCACCAGGCAGCTCCGTGGGGCTCTGGAGGCTTAGAGACCGGTCAGCCCTGTGGTCAGTCCTTCTGCCTCTGCAGCCTGCCGCCCGCATGCACGGGGCTCGGCTCCTGGCCCCCCTCTGCCCCAGCTGGCCTGGCGCTCCGCTCTAAGCCAA